CCATCGTGTTTTGAATGGTCAAGTACAATTTATCCGATTACTTATGGTCCTCTGAAATGAGGGACTGTGTATAAAAAGGTCTGTTACTCCTATGTGGTGGGCACCAATACAGATAAAGACCCCTCTGTTTCATTCCAAATGTGCTAAAGGTACAGAGTCAAAACAACGAAACCTGTGTCACTGTTCAGTTTCTTGAAGACTGCAATATACATTCCACTCTGGGTTGAATGATATGAACATGTTTGTCAATACTATTGACTTTTTTTGAAACATGTTCTCAGAAAAAAATGGCAAAAACCATTAAATACCACGAAACTCAACAGTAATCAATCTCTACTGCCTACAACTCGCAAGAAAAAGAGAAAATCCAGGTCTCATGTCCAAACCTTATTGTGAGTGAATATGATCCTCAGCTCTGGCTTGATAATTGCATAAGCCATCAGCAAATCCTGCACCTTCTTCACTTCTTCTTTGCACTTCTTAGAGGTGGAGTAATACTGTCTCCTGACTGGGAGGTTCTTGAACAGTTTTACCGCACACACTGTGGTTCCTGTGTAAAAAGGTAAAAGGTTTTTTCACAGTTATTTTATTTTTGAAGTAACAGCATAACCAAAACTACATGATCGTGGATTGAGAAATGCTTACCTTGGCCAAGATGTGATGGCCTCTGAGAGATAACACGCCCATTGAGGTCAAGTGTATACTGAGTGCTGACATCATCATCAGCTGTTTTGGTTGTAACAACTACCTGGAAAAGGAAAGCAAGAAACAAGATGAAAAAGTATTATTTCAACTTTATATTATAAGCCCTATTCACGCTTTACCTGTAGAGGTACTGTAGGAATTGTAATTTTAAAATAAGTATTATGAATGAGACCTGCGGTTTTAATCCAGTATGAATCCGCAGCAGGTGTATGTTTTACAGTCTGCGACTGATAATTGTGGAGTGATTTTAATCCAGTATGAATCTTAATTGTGACCAGTTTTTACATTTAGACAGTAATAACCGCTCAGTGATTTGAATCTTGTATGAATCTTAATTGAGTCAAGTTTACACAGTCTGGCTCTAAACACTGTACAGTGATTTTATTCCAGTATGAATCTTCATTGTGTGTAGTTTTTTTACAGTCTAATTGTTATAACTGTTCAGTAATTTTAACCCATTATAAATCTTTAATGTATGTAGCTTTTACAGTCTGACAGAAAAAAACTGTTCAGTGACTTTAATCCAGTATGAATCTTCATTGCATGTAGTTTTTATAATCTGATTGTAATAACTGTGTAGTGATTTGAATCCAGTATGAATCTGCAGTGTGTGCACTTTTTACAAGGTGACTCTAATAACTGTGGAGTGATTGGTCTTCTGTAATTTGCTGAAGGCAGAGTTCCCTGAGTAATAGCAATCCAATCCACTTTACACTTAAGAATTAACATGATATGCTACTAGACACAACATACATGGTATTGCCATTGTTACTGAGTGTGACCTGTATTGTAATGCTGACATGAACATTTTTGCAACTGGGTTATCTGTGGGAATTTAGGGCTATTACACCGATACTTTATCCTGTACCAATCTGCCAGTCAGATCTCTTAAAAATTGCATTACTGTGCTACAGTTTAGGCTATAGTAAAACAAAAAAATATACTGTTACCTCAGAAATGGCACATATGGATGCAAGCGCTTCTCCTCTGAAGCCATATGTCTCTAGGCACTCCAAGTCTTCATGGCAGGAAATTTTAGACGTGTAATGTTTCACTGCCATTACAGGGGCATCAGCAGCCTTGATTCCACAGCCATTGTCTCGCACCTCAATACGATCCAAACCATGATTCTCCTACAAGTGAAACATGGCATGAAGACCTGAGGTGCTGCAGTTTTATTGTTTAAAGTAGTCGTAAACTTTTTATTAATTTACCAATTTAACTTCGAGGCTTGAAGCGCCAGCATCAAGCGAGTTCTCAACCAGCTCTTTGACAACGCTGAGTACAGATGTGATCACTTGGGAGCTGGAGAGCAGACGCACAGTCTCCTGTGGAAGTGCCTTCATGGTCTACTCACCTGGAGAGTCAGGAGAGAAAAGCAGCCCTTTGAAACAGTGTAGTAGAGTAGTGCCCCCCATGAATTGCTCCGTTTTATTTTTCATGCTCTAATACACCTCAAATCATCAGGTAATTATCAAGCCCTTGTTAAACTGAATGAGTAGCGAATAGGGATGCACAGGGGGGGAATTCTGGGCTGATGCTGAAGATATTTTTTTATAATGATGCTAATATACACACATTTATATAATGCAGTAATTAGCATTAAATCTATTTGTATTAACATCACAGAGAAAATTTATCATGTATTTGTTGAAGGTCATAAATGCAGTTTTTTTTTTTCTTTTTAAACTATTATCTACCGATACCAATGTCACGACTTTGAGATCATCATAAATCCCAAGTCGTCTAGTAGTGAAAACACTGAAACTGTACAGTGCACGCAGTTACAAAGACTGGGAATGAGAAGGACTGGAATATTGTAAACATAACAGCAGATGTTCTAGACCAGAGTTCTAGCCACAACACATTTTTGATCCATTCCTGCACACAAGACACTTCAGTGAGTGAGGAAGTCAGTGCTGGCTGAGGATCCACTGCATCATAAGAATGTGACCAAGCAATCAGTATAATTTACAAATTTAAGTACAGCAAGAATAAAAAGGTTTATGCAGCACAGAGATTGACTTTGTGATTGGTCGTACGTCATTCTGTCGCCTAAATATTGACCGTGCTTATTTGCATACTGCTTTGTGATTCGTTGTTACGTGGAGCAGTTGTACACAACTCTCCAATAATAAAGCGAAATGCAAACAATTTTTTAACTAGATTATCTTATTGGATAATGCTTAACACATCATCCAATCACAAAGCAAAATGCAAATGAGTATGCTAATATTGTCCCTATCCACCTCCCTCTCTTTACAGACACAGACTTCAATTTAGAAATTAAAGTACAGCAAGATAAAAAAAAGTTTATGCAGCACAGAGATGGGCGATATGGCAAAATGTACTATCACAATACTTCAGCAAGTTTTTTACGATACACAATGTGTCACAATAATTATTTTTTCTGACATATGAAGTTAGGATAGACAAAGGAGTGCCACAGTTTAAAAATACTATCAAAACTATGAATCCAATTACTTGTATTCAACATTTTATACTTCGCTGGACTAATTATGCTCTCTTTTTATCAAACTAGCAATTAGGAAGTGCTTTTAAAAGTACTGAAAGTACTCGGAAAAGCATCCTGTGACATACTGTGATCACGATAATGATAAATAACGTGATTAGGTTTAAACAATTTGAAATCTCTATGTATTAACATATGAGCAGTACTGAGATTGTGATTTAAATTGCGATTGTTTTCTATAAATTGAGGCCCATGCCTTATTTTTTTGCAAAGAAGAACAACATTTCCACTTTTCTCTTTTTCTGGCTTGTTGTGGTTGTGATGTCACAGCACATGGGTGTTTGGTTGCTTCTGATTGGTCTAACTCATCTATAAAAAGTTCACAAGCTCTTTGTTATTGGGCTAAATCTTCACACTAAAAACAAAACTAAAAGCAGTTCTTGCAATTTAAAACCGCACTTTTAAAAAAAAGCGATTCTGATATTAAAATGATCAACCTGTCAGCCCTAATTGTCACATTTTCGCTATTGTGGCGTCGACAACAATAAATCGCTGCCATTGGAACAAAACCTCGTATCTCCAAAATGGTAACTTTACAGGAGAAGGAAAAAACCTACTTTACTTTTAATGTAAGTCAATGGAACCAGACTTTTTTACAAGTCATTCCTTGGCCATCATGAAATTCACACACAATATAAAGGACAGCAGGCATTTTCATATTAGGTCAAAAACTGAAAAACAACAAAATTGGAGATACGAGGTTTTGTTCTGACAGCAGCGAAATATTGTCTTACTGACCCTTGAATAAATACATTTGACAATACTTAACGTTATCCTGATATTTATCGTTATCACGATAAATACTGACATATCGCCCAGACATAATGCAGCAGTTAAAGAACTGGAAGACCTGCAGGTTTCCTATCGATATAAAGTGCCAACGGGGCCAAGCAGATCTGGAGGCCAGTTAATAATCAATACTGTATTAATTAGTCAGCTGTAAATTCAGATACAGTAGACAGTCAGACCAAACCAACAGCATGATGAGTCCTGCAGCTGGAGCGCTTCGACTCCGTAAGCTTTAAAGTTGCACAAAAGCCTAAATTACTTACAGGCGAACTCTCACAGCGGAAGGAAGCCAGATTTTATATAAAACAAAGAAAATCAGCCGTGAATGTATGAACTCGCAAACACCCCACTGAGCCCATGCTGCTGCGCTCACTCAAACACACTACTGGAGCGGAAATAACGCAAAAATCACAATAAGGCGCCTTTTTTACGTCACGCCTTTTTCTTCGTGCTGATTGGCTGTTTAGGTTGTCGGTCAAGCTCTGAATCTAAAACAGTTGATAATAAGTACGTATTATATGTATTTAAACTTAGCCAGATTGCTGCTTTTATCTTGTTTTCAATAAAAAATAAAATAAAAAAAATCTCCATCGCGTTTCCCTTGTTTCTTGCGCTGATTGGCTGTTCGGATTGTCGATCACCTCAGAATTTCTCGGACGGGGCTAGTCCTTTGCATTTTGCTTTGTGATTGGATGTTTTCGCTCAGCAGATTTGAATAATATTAACAACACACGTTTGCATTTGACCTTTGGATTGGTTGCATGTCATTCTGTCGCCTAAATTTTTGCCGTGCTTATTTGCATATTGCTTTGTGATTCGTTGTTACGTGGAGCGGTTGCGCACAACTGTCCAATAATAAAGCGAAATGCAGGCGATTTTTTAACTAGATTAGCTTATTGGATGATGCACAGCGCATCGTCCAATCACAAAGCAAAATGCAAAAGAGTATGCTAATGTTGTCCCTATCCACCTCCCTCTCTTTACAGACACGGAGACGGGCAGCGGGTTCTGGCCGTTTCGCTGCACTGGATCAGCGTCGAGTATCTGGAATAAAAGCAGGGTAGGTTAAGTGTTGCAAACTGGGTTTGTCCGTGTCGTTGTTTACATTTCCATATGTGTCTACATGTCATATAAGACTTTAAGTCGGTGTTTTCATCTTGACCTACATATTCCAAGATATCAGCCAGCGTCAAAACAAATCAACTGGTGCGGCGGCGGCGTCTCTGCGCTGCAGTCTGTGTAACCTAACGGTGTTTTTATGCCAGTCATTAGCCTCGCCTCGGCGTTTCATAAAAAAACGACTGAATATAGCAAACCGAGTCGCTTGTTAAATGCCTGAACTATCCGGCTGTGTTGAAAATGTGGTTTTAACTGTGGTTCGTCAATATTTGATTGTTAGGTTAACTTAAAAGGAAGGATTGGTCTGTTAGCTTGGTAGCTAAAACGAGTTAGCCGGCTAGTTAGCTAGCTAACGTTAGCAGGCTTGGGGAGAAAGTTGTGGCGCACAGAGCATCCAAATAACTAATAGATAAATAATAAAATAAATAATCAATTTTCTAGATGTCTGTATGCGTGGCCAGCTACCAGAGAGCTAGTTAGTCATAGCACTTTTCACGAAGCTGAAGTCAGCTTCTTGTTCGATTTTTTCCGTTCCACCTTAAATGCTGCATAACGCCTAAGGAGCCAGAATGTAACTGCTGCACCATTTAAGGTGGAACGGGAAAACTCAGAACAAGAAGCCGGCGAATAGGAAGCCGAAATCAGCCTGGTTCGGTTAGCCCAAGTTCAAGAAGCACCGAGAATGGGGAAAAACAAGTGAAACGTGGCAGTTGCGGAAAGCCGAGACTTTTAATCTTATCATATCAAAAGTTGTGTAACTAAGCGAGCAGTAGTGTTGAGGGAGAAAGAGTTGGGCAACGGTGAACTTTGGATCTGTTTTAGGCTGACCTGGCTCTGATAAAGTAAACAAGTAGGTCAGAATATGAACTTTAAAAAAAGCATGAAGACCTCAAGGGCCTGACAGCTTTAGCTGTGACTTATCTGGGGATGGGTTTGAGGAGTTTGTTGGCTTTAACCATGAAGAAGAGCCTGTTTGAATCCTTAGTGCTTAAAGATTTTAATATAAAAACACTGGATACCTCTAGTAGAGCATACATTGTGGTGCAGTGCTATAACTGACACCATTATTCAGATAATGATCTTTTTATACATTCTTCTTGGGCTTTTTTTATTGTTGGAAAAAAGTGGTTATGGTTGATATTCCTGACAGAGAGAGAGAGAGCTGTCTTCATTTTATGTATGCATTATATCTTCTGTTCCCTCCACAGAAAGTCAGGATGAATGTTGGTGTAGCCCACAGCGAGGTGAACCCCAACACTCGGGTTATGAACAGTCGGGGGATCTGGCTGACGTACGCACTCGGTGTGGGAATGCTTCACATTGTGCTGTTGAGCATTCCCTTCTTCAGCGTTCCCGTCGTGTGGACCCTCACAAATGTTATTCACAATTTTGTAAGTCTTCCCTCTGAAATAACCCATTGTTTTACTAGCACCGTTTTCCCATGTGGCGCATGTTATTTTCTGAAGTGTTGTTTATGAGTAGGCAGCATGTTCACTATGTGCTGCCTGTGTTTTGGTGCCCTTGATTCAGCTCACTTCAAACAATTGGTGCTTCCTTAATTCACGTACCACATGACTAGTCCCTTAAATAAAGAAGTAAGGTCACCAGCATGACATCATTTGCAAAGCTAAAATAGTTTTGGTATGTGTGGCAGCACACGCATACTGCACCACAATGATAAGAGGAGCCATTCAAGTGATTATTTCCTGCCATGTGTGGCTGGCTATAATCATCCTGCTATCATTCTTTAGCAGCAGTAACGAATTAAACAAATGCGGTCTAGAGCTTGAACTTAACTGCTGCTCTATGCAGACTGATCTTGTTTTCTTTTAGTAGTCAGTTTCAAGTAAATTCCTCACCTGTTCAGTTTATTGAGTTGTTACTTAATACCGTAAATGTCAGTGGTATGTGTATCGAGAGTGTAGAAGAGGGTCACATTTGAAGCGTTTCCTGCGCCTAACGGATTGCTGTTGTGTTTCTCTGCAGGGCATGTATGTGTTCATGCACGCAGTAAAAGGCACACCATTTGAGACTCCAGACCAGGGCAAAGCCAGACTACTCACACACTGGGAACAGCTGGACTACGGCGTGCAGTTCACATCATCCAGAAAATTCTTCACAATCTCACCAATCATTTTGTATGTTTATTTTCTTTGTGTTGTTACTTCTACATTGAACAGCTCTCTTAATTTTAGCCAAGCGGATGCATGTGCAAGATTGCTTGTACATTCATCTGCTTGCAGATACTTTACAGACTGTTAATAGACTGAATTCTCTGTAAGGGGTGGTGGAAGCGTTCAAGACAGTTTTGACCATGTGAGACTTTTTTAAATTTATGTTTTGAAAGTTTGAGACTCTGATTATCTGCATTGTCACATACTGGCTTTAGCTCACTCCAATCAGGATGACGTGCACCTCTGCTGCTTCTTGATACAATAATACTGATTACATGGGTCATTCTTGTGCATAACTGACAAACCACTGAACTTGAAAAAGAAAAAATGCTGATGAAGTTTTAAAGTTGAGAATTTTAACATTTTTGGCAGTATCCTTTGGGAAAGTGCTTATGAAAGGGATGTATATTTTCTGGGCTGTTTTTTTGGCATTCTGGCCCTTTTTGGCCTCAGCGCTAATGAGGTTTCAGTTTTTAGGAGAGCAGTTCACAGGAGCAGTTCACAAGAGCAGTTGAATGACTTGTATAAAAGGGCTAAGCTCAGTAGAACCCTTTTCTGAAAACTTTAGCTCATGAAGGGGCTCTATTGTAGGCCCAAACGGCACAAGTATGTAATGACCATGTTAGAAATTGAATGTAACAGAGCTGTCAGTTTGCACCAAATATATAAACATGCCTGATGCATGTTAGCCTGTGTGACGCCAGGTCATGTGCGAACCTAGCTTTCAGAACTTCAAATCAGATCAGAAGAATTTTATTCATTTTGCTCAAACTGTTAAAATGATTCTGAACTATATAGTCACTGTTATACAAAAACGTGTGTTGCCAGTTTTTGTTTTTTTCCAGCTTTTACATAAATAGAAAATTCTTTGCATGATTTTAATTTCGCACTTAACGGAGCAGAAGAAACGGTCCAGAATGTCCTAAAAAAAATCAGGTTAACTTCCATTGCAAGTTAAACTTTTTTTTTTCTTTTTCCTATGAAGTCACCATTTTAGAGATACACGTTTTTTTGTGTGACAATGCACTATTTACATACTCTATACTGCACTGTTTCAAACTTACCTGCTGTTTTATGTTCTTCAGATACTTCCTGGCAAGCTTCTATACAAAATACGACACGGCCCATTTTGTGATAAACACCGCCTCCCTCCTGAGTGTGCTTATCCCGAAATTGCCACAGCTCCATGGAGTGCGAATCCTTGGAATCAACAAGTATTAAGCTCACCGTTCAGAGGGAACAGCGCTGAGGCCAACTCTCCAATGAGCTCCTGCCTCATCTATTAGGAGAATAGGTAACCCTCTGTGCTTTGTGATGCAGTTTTGTACAGTGTGTATAATTTAGTGTCTGTCTTTGCTTAGATGCACCTGAAGTTATTACAGGCGTATGTGGTAATGCCTTGAGCATTAACTTAAGTAAATATTTAATTTCTTTTTTTTCCTCTCCCTTCGGTTCTCATGAATCTGGGCTGGCCCAGAATTCAAAGTTTTGTTTTTGGTGTTTTTTTTTCCTTCCCCCCCTTTTTTTCTTCTCCCCTTACATTTTTGGTTTTGTTTGTAGGCCTCACTAAACTGTGAGAACCTAATTCTGTTTGTCACATTTCTAAACACAATTATAAAAGCTGTTTTTAAGACCAGTTCTTTGTAAGAATTGGACCCTGTAGTTGAAATGATGTTTTTTTTTTTTTCCTTCTTTTTCTTTGAATTTTTTTTCTTGTATCAGTGCTTTACAAAACAATAAAGATGTCTTGCATGATTTTCTGAAAAACATGTTTGTTAGAGCAAGTATTTTGATAGTGTAAATAGTCATACGGTGGGTTGATGTCTCAAGGCTTAAGTGACAAGAAACATCCATTAACAGTGCTTTAGTGTTTACTCAGATATGTTTATGTACTCATTTATTAAAGTGTGCTTGTTTAGGACATAACTGTGAATCTCCTTGATTACCAAGGCAGCTAGTCCTTTCTGGCCTCTGCTTATTTATGGTGTTACTGGAGCTCAAAAGACCCCTGTATGTAATATAGGCCCATTAAAACATTCATGCTCATCTGTGGTGTTTTCTCTTTCAACACTGTCGCAGTTTAAAATGCTTTGCCAACAATATTTTTCAAAAAGACACGGAATGTGTGTTTATATACTACTAAAGGTTAGATAAATGTCAGAATAGATGACTCTGCATTTAGGCACCTTTTTAAAAGTTGTGTGTGTGTTTTCCCCCCAGTGTGTAATAAAAAGCACAACTGATCCAAAACCGTACTCTTGGGCCCCGACGAAGCACATTCAGGGTTCCTGGCTAAATTTCAGCTTCACAAAATTGAACTCCGAAAGCATTTATAACAGTAAAAAGCAGGGCTGTTTCTACTGCCACCGTGTTGGTGCTTACTGGAGTAATAATTATTTTATATTCCTGATTTCTATGTAGTATTTTGTCACTGTGCACATTTTTTCCCCTATTTTACTACATTTTGAATGCAGAAGCTGCTCTTTACATGATAACAATTTTTGACGACTGGACCAGATAGAATTGTTCAAACGTTTCTTAACCCACATTAAAAGTACAGGGTGTCCCAAAAAAATGACATCATTTGAGATGTGAATCTCTGAGTAACTACATGTCCTGGCAAACGAAATTAAATAGGCTTCATGTTGAACTATACAAGATTCATTTATCGAAATTCAAACAAGAAATTCAGAGGGATGTATATTTTATAATCGATTTCACAGCTTCACAAATGTAATCTTCCGATACTGGTGGTCGTCCAGACCCCTTTGTCCTGCACAGACAGCCTTCTTGTTTGAATTTTTTGTGCTGTGTCCAAATCTGCTTTCCAGTTGGTGCATTTTTATTGAATTTTCTCAAAAATGCAGGCTGCACACTCTTGTTTGACTATGTTTGAGCATATTCTAACACACAAAATGCCTTTTCATTTCTAGTGAACGCCATTCTTCAACCTGAAAAAAAAAACATTAAAAATTAAACTTGGTTAGTTTTTACTCATTTTGTTAAAATTTGAAATCATTTGAGGCAAAATTGGCTGTTATTAGACTATGGAATGATGTCAGTTATTTTGGGGACACCCTGTAATACATGTTTCTCCTGTAAATTTACCATTTTTGAGACCCTTTTTTTTGTGGGGTTTTTTTTTCCTTTCCTTTTGGGTAATAGCCCTGAGTGGGAAGATCAGTGTGATTAGGTACTCTATTATCTACACTTATTAAAAAAAGCAATAGAAGGCAAAATCAAAAAGTATTTTAATTAAAATCCAAATCCAGTAGTAGTTAGTTTCACTGAAAAATCACATGTACACAGTTTTGCCCTTAGCCCAAATGTAATCAATCAGTCAAGGCATGTTTGGTGTCTGAAATTTGCTTTTGCTCTGAAACTACAAGGCTAATATAGCTGATATAGCTGATAAGTAATGGAAATATATGCCATACAAAACCTTTTTAGGTGACAGACTGTTTTAATATCCTTCTTGACTTTAAAGGGTCTATAATCACACTTTTTCTTTGCATTTTATTTTCTCTTTCTGAGGTCTGCTTATGAAATGTGAGTTTATGTACCAAAACAGTCATAATACATTTTACATGATCATTTTTCTAACCGGACTATCTCTTAGAATTAAGCAGGCTGTTTTTTTTTTTTTCTTTTTTCAGTTATTGTGCCTCTGAAACTGAAATATGTAAAAGAGCTCTGTTCCAGCTGGGTGCCCTGCGTTTCGCTTCATTTAAAAAGTTATCTGGGTTGAAACTCTTCTTATAAGTTTAGTTTAAATGGGCAGAGCTTAACTTTAAACTTTAAGTGGACACCTGTAAACGTGTTTGTTTTTGTGACATCACAGAAGCAGTTAATTCAAAACAGACTTTAGGAGTCCATGTCTGTTAAAAACAAAGAATTAAAATTACTTAAAGTCCAACAGTTCCTCGCAGGCCTGTAGCATCACTCCTTTATACACATCAAAGTGGTGATTCAAGTCTTTTTGACAGTGAATTTTATACTTGGTTCCTAAGGCGCCATCTGTAGAAGCTGCTCCATAGAAAACTCTGCTTATCCTTGAATGGACTAATGCCATGGCACACATCACGCATGGCTCTCTGGTGACATACAGTTCGTATCCGGTGCAAATGTACGGCTGTCCACATTCCACTGCGTTGTCAGAGCTGCAGTGGTTTCCTACTGTCCTAATGTCATCGTGACTTGTGGTGACCTGTGACTCAGGGACACTGTATCTGCAGGCTGGGTACTTCTCATATTCATAGGCACCTCCTCCTTGCGTATATGCCACAAGGTCAATGCACACCATTACAGCATGATGGAGTGGATGAGTGCCTCGCCTACAGTCATGACCTACTGCAACGATTTGGCCAGACTGTGGGTCAACGATCACTGCACCCACACCATCCATTCCCAGTGCTTGGCCTGACCTTGCAGCCTGTATAGCCGCCATCATATAGTCTCCCATTTTAGCCTTCTCACTGGAAGAGAACAACTGTCCTCTCAAGGCAGAAGTGACTTGCTTGTCTTCATGAAAAGATGTAGGCCAATGCTCACTCGCTCGCTCAAACTGTGGTCTGGTTAGTGGAGCACTAGCTGGAATTTGGACAAGAAAAGGCTCACCCAAGCCCCTAGAGTCAATGGTCTTCGAGCTCAGCAGGTCAGCGAGAGTAGGCCTTTGGCTTTCCAGCTCTGACACATCACTAGCCAGACACACAATGACCTCCAGTGGATGAGGAGCGCTCTTGTCTTTGCGAGCCCTTACCCTCTTTATATGCTGAAGATCCGGTAAAGGGTAGACCACAGCCAGCTCTTTGACCAAACGTGAGGTTTCTCTCTTCTCAGTGATGGGGGCTGCATAAGCATCCAGCAGTTTAGTGTCCTGAGACTGTTCGTCTGAGAGGACAGGAAGGACATCCCACAAGTCCGTGTCGTACTCCATTCCTTTTCTCCGTTTAGTGTCAGGTTCCATTTTCGGTCACTGAAAAAAGTAGCAGCTCATGCGTCTCCTAATGTCGTCTGTGAACAGAAGCCATGTGATGGTCGGCAGAGGTGGGCAGAGGACCCTAAAACCAGAGTCAGGTAAAGCGGCTGTTACTTTCATGAAATAATGACTCAGTTCTTAGTACACCCAGCATTTATCACCATAGGAACTGAAGTTCATCAGACAGTACATCAGACGGTACACTCATCTTTAGGGACACTTTTGGTATAAACCAACCAGACTAGAACAAACCAGTAGGAAAAGTAAACCCACTAAGTAATTAAACAGGAATTCCACATGTTTTTCAGTATTTCTGTATAATTCAACAGTTAAGAGTATAAATAAAGTCATTCAGAGTGGTTTGATGTGAAGCGCACCATTCTAGAGAGACTTACCGATTCACAGTGGTGGTGATAGGAACCAGACGTCTGAACTGTTTAATGTATTTTAAAAGCTACCTTACAGGAAACTATTACATAAAATGTTTCTGAATAAGCTGCCCGATGCCTGAAATATTGTTTTATGATAGTTCTAATGTTTTGACCTAAAATGTATGTTTTAAAAATTAGTTCATGGCAGAGCAGTACTGTGTTGTAATTATGCATTGTGTTATAAGGTTAAATTGTCCCCAAAGAAACTTTTTTGTATTTACCACTATTTTACCATTGACAGCATTACATATAAAAACTCAGATAGTTTAAGTTCAGGTTACTTAATGTTAATCTGTACGTAAGTTTGGTTTGCAGTAGATGAGTCCGCATCCATCTTAACATACATTTTACATACAACACAAACAACTGACAACTGTCAAACATAAAAAATACAAAGTACTCAAGGTTCTGGTCGTCTTATCAAAATTACTACAATTTATTCATCTGAGTAACGGCTGTTGGAACAAAGCTATTGTTATACTGCTTTGTTCTGCACTTTGGGACTATAAACCTATGTCCGGAGTGTCCATGATTTCCAAAAAGAATTTTAAATTTCGATTCGTCGGACCACAGGACTCTTTTCCACTTTGCCTCAGTCCATCTTAAATGAGCTTACACCCAGAAAAGTAAGTGGCGTTTCTGGGTCCTGTTTATATATGGTTTCTTCTTTGCATGGTAGAGTTTTAACTTGCAGTTGTGGATGCAGCAATTTTATACAACTTTATCAGTCTTTTGTTGCCCCATCCCAACTTTTTAAAAACGTGTTGTTGGGATCAAAATGGGCATATTTCTCAGTTTTAACACGTGATATGTTGCCTTCGTACTATTTTCAATTAGATATAGGGTTTAAATGATTTGCACATGATTGTATTCAGTTTTTATTCACACTTTGCACAGCGTCCCAACTATTTTGGAAACACTGTTTCCAGCACATTCTCTGATTATGAGATAGTAAGTAATTATGATGGGATATGATGGGATATTAAGTCATAATTGAGAAACCCCCATTATTATGAGATAGCAAGGCATAATAATGAGAAGATGAACCATTATTATGAGATACTAAGTCATAATTATGGAGAGCCTGCTCATTATTATGACTAAATGGCTATATTTTTCTACAGTGCCACTGTAAAGAAACCTGAGTCAATAAGTTTCTCTGCAATTAATAATTTCTGTTCACATCTCGACGACGGAATTATGCAGAGATTTAAAGGTGAATTAAAAAGGGGGAATTCTCCTGTAAATACTAAACGTGAAGGGATGCGATGGCACAGAAAAGAAAAACTCAAAAGCAGGAATACAAAGAAAAAGGAATGACGTTACAGTAAATGGAAAAGGGCCACTACAAACCTCTGATGGTCAGTGAAGCTCTAGTCGGGCTGTATAATTCAGACCAAATATTCAGGGATTTCCTTCGTTCATCGAGGTGCTTTCAGATTTTTTTTTGATTTTCTGAGTTTAGACTGAAACCCAAACCTCGTTGATCCCAAAACGGAGTGATAAAAACAGCTTTGACTCAAAATAAAGCGGCAGAAACAGTCAGACAAGTTTAAAAATCTCATAAAATTAAAGATTCATTGACTTTGTAGCACATTAAAAAACACGAGGGTAAAGTCGGCTTCCTATTCGCCAGCTTCTTGTTCGAATTTTCCCGTTCCACCTTAAATGGTGCAGCTGTCCCAGTCTGGCGCCTCAGGCGTTCTAATGAAGCTGCCCCAGCATTTAAGGTGGAACGGGGAGATTTGAGCACGAAGCTCGTCCTTCTTATTTCCCAACCCCCCGAAACAACGCGGCTTATACATGGTTCCCACCACAGGCATAGTAAGTACCATTCAACAAAATAAAAAAAAATGATTAATAAACATTACTTGGAGCTACTGAAATATAATTCCATGCCTAGTCCTTAATCTTCCATACAATTTATGTACACATTAATTCTATAATGATTATGTACTGTAGCGGAACGTTGTTGTCTGTGTATGTACATCGGAGGTGTTTTTGTGCGGCGCCAAACGTCCCACATGTGCTCTTGATGAATGTGAAGCACAAACTGAAGCTGAAGCGGTTTTACGGTGTAGCTGAGATCTTTGCAGCCTTTATGCTTTTCTCGGGGGAGGCAGAATAAGTCCAATGTCAGACTGAAGGAGCAGAGGAAGACTCTGGCCTGGTTTAAAAGTCAGGTTGTGGGTTTGACTGTGTTGTTATGGCGAGGTTTGATGTCCTTTGCAGGTGGACTGGATGCAGCCTGCGGAGATGCAGGGCACACAGAGCAGCTGCTGCTCACATAAAACCCAGGCTGGTGCTGGGAATCGAGACCAGCTGTGATGAGACCGGGGCCGCTGTCCTGGACGAGACGGGGAGCATACTTGGAGAGTCTTTGCACTCCCAGAAAGAAGTGCACTTGAAGTAAAAGACCTCTTCTGTTCTCTTCTCATTGCATCTGTTACACTGTATATGCAGAAGTATTCAGACCTCCATTCTAATTAGTGAATTTACATACTTTAAAGGGGAATTCCACCCATTTGGTCAGAATTTCTGTATAATGCAGTCATTCAGATGTAAACAAAGTAGAGGTGGGTGATATGGTAAAAATCTAATACTGCGATCTAAATTTTCACGGTACACAGTATGTCACAATATCTATTTTTTTTTTTAATACAACTGATCACTTAGAATTTAGAAAAAACAGCAGGGCTACATTTAAAACAACCTATTAAAAGCTGTGAACACAATGATTCTTATTTAATATTTGGCATACTGTGTTGCACTAAATCCACTAACTTTGCTCTCTGTATAATAAAACAACTTAAAAGCATATTGTTTTGTATTATGAAATAATTTATGACAATAACAGTATATATTGTCATATTGCCTAGCCCTAAAACACAGTAACTCAGACTGGTTTGATGTGAAATGATTAACTGTAGAGAAACGTGTCAAGCTAGATTTTTTTACAGTCATGGTGATAGGAACCAGAGTTCACATTGTCTGCAGCGGAAAAATTGCCATTTAATTTACTATCCAAGACCACCAGTGGACCTACATGTTTCCTCTGAGTGCTTATATGTAATGTTGATGATGGTAAAATAATGGTAACAAAGTAAGTTTTCATTGCAGACTGTTTTGCCTCACAACGCCCTACGTGTACCCCTTTGCCATGAATGGCTTTAAAAAGATTATGTTTTAGGTGAAATCCTTTCCTTGAAACTTCCGTGAACCAATGCCTCAGAGGTGTTTAAGCCCCCCAGCATTGGGCTGTGGAGCAGTGGAACTGCATTCTCTAGAGTGATGGAGCTCCATTTAGTACCTTTGGGAGGAGTTGAGATCGTTAGGACTTAAAGAACACTCAGAGGCCATAATTCCTCCTGTTTAACTGGATTTAGTGCATTGTGAAACACTGAACAAAAATCATTGTATTCAGTACAAGTACTGATGTTTTTTGTCAGTTTCAACTTATCAAAACTAAATATGATGCCTATTGTTAAACTGTCTTTGAGTATCCTGATTTGATATTTTCCACCCCACCTCTATCCAGAACTAATCATCCAACATTAGTATATGACTTCCTTAATGCTCCTCTGGTGGAATGCAGTCAAACCAAGCTGCTGCATGTCGCTCTGTGAAGCACAAAATAATAATTTAAAAGTCAGAGGCGTTGGGGTGGATTTCATGGGAGTTTTTCCACATCCACATCAAACGTCTTTACATATTAATGTTACAAGTACAGACTCAAAAAGAAAGTCCAGCTTGATGTTGTTTAGGTCTCAAATGCAAATTATACTGATGAAGGTATGATGACAATGGTGGATAATTTATTTACATCCTCAGAAGACACATCCTTACACACTCTTTCAAGGCGCTCACAATCATCATCCAATGGGGGGAAAGGGGTCTGAGGCACAACCCACGCTACAAAATGTTCTTCCGCATGTTGTGTGCAATTACCCATTTCCAACAGAGAAGTCTCCAAATCACCAAACCTTACAAAGTGCAGATTTAATTGTGGACCATAATTTTAAGTTTAAAGAGCATATTCCAAGGGTTTCTTCACTTCTGGTCCTGGAGGGCTGGTGTCTAGCACAGTTTGACAGCGAAACCTGGCAATTAACATTTAAGTTGAATCAGGTGTGTTTGACCAAGGAAATCCAAACTATGCCAGAGCTTAGCCTTCCAGGACTGGAATCCTGACATATTCTATCTAAATTCCATTTTGAAATAAATGCCTTTTTTAATGATTTTCCAGGTTTGTTTTCAGATTTTTGTTCTCTTTGGCCATAATTCATTCTCAATATTGGTCAGCTTGGTGAGCCAAAAACATTTTCCCGGCCCATTGATGTCACACTTTGCCTAAAGATGCTTTAGAGCCCTTTTTAATGGGTCGTTTATGGTTCTCCTCCAGAACAGGTGGGATTATCCCAGTGGTCGCCCAGCGTCTCCATAAGGAAAACATCAACAGAGTGGTCCAGGAAGCCTTAGACAGGAGCAGGGTTGCACCCAGTGAACTCTCTGCTTTGGCCACAACGGTGAAGCCTGGTCTGGCCCTGAGCCTGGGCATCGGTTTGCAGTTCAGTCTTAGTTTTGTAAGGCTTCACAAAAAGCCTTTCATCCCCATCCATCATATGGAGGCCCATGCCTTGACTGTGCGGATGTTGCAGCCGGTGGAGTTTCCCTTTCTGGTGCTGCTTGTGTCTGGAGGTCATGCTCTGCTTTCACTAGCAAAAGGAATCGATGACTTTTTACTTTTAGGGCAAACACTGGATGAAGCCCCGGGGGACACTTTGGACAAGGTATCAGATTCATAAACTACCTGAGGTTTATTACAGCCTAAGGATTATTATTCAGTGATTACATGAAAAACAAAGCTAACTGGCCGAGTTATTCTTGTTCGGTGGAGTTTAAAAGTTAAAGTAACCAGGCAGCTCTGAAAGTTTGAGTTCATCAAACCTTCAATAGTAAGTTAACGGAAAGTAAGACACAGATTATTGTTTTGTTAATTTACTATTAGAAATCTTCAAATTATAATGCAGCAAAGTAACTTACTTTAAGGGGAATTCCTTTAATTGGCCTAAATTTCTGCAAAATTGGTTAAGATGTAAACAGAGTTATTCAGAGTGGTTTGATATGAAATGCTCTGCTCTAGAGACGCTTACCACGTTAGAATTATTCACAGTGGTGGTCATAGGAACCAGACGTCTGAGGAGTTTAGTGCCTCACAAAGCTCCCTCACAGAAAACTATTACATAAAATGGTTACAGATACACTGCCTGGTGCCTGAGACCGTAATTTTCCATAGTTTCAAGATACGTTTTGGGCTTGAAACATTTTTTAAAATCCAATGATGGCAGAGTGGTATATGCATTATGTCCTAAGGCAAAATATTCCCTTTTTTAGTGGTGCTGATAGGAACCAGGGGTCACAATGTCTACAGTGCAAATACGGCCATCGAAAATGGCCAGGGAACCTACACTGAATGTAACTTTTCAGTTTTACAACTATTTTTCTATTATCGACATTACATATAAAATCTCAGAAGACACATGTAGGTAACTGGCTATATTTGCATTGTAGACCTCTGGTTCCTATCACCTCCACTGTAAAGTAATATGAGTCAGTAACTCTAGAATGAACCATTTCACATTGAATCTCTCTGAGTAATGTTGTTTACATCTCTAAGGTTGATTAAGGCAGAAAATTTGAGAAATTGGTGGAATTCCCCTCTAAGGTAAAACATCTTTTTTACTGTGTAGTGAAGCTGTATTTTGATATAGATTCTTTAAGTGGTTGAGTTTGAAGTAACCAGATATGATTTGATTCGACAGGTAGCAAGAAGACTGTCTCTTATTAAGCATCCGAAGTGTTCCAGTCTTAGTGGTGGGCAAGCAATTGAGCTTTTGGCGAAGGAAGGTGATCGACTCAAGTTCCAGTTCAGGTCACCGATGGGACAGCACTACGACTGCAATTTCTCATTTGCTGGTCTGCGCAACCAAGTGACAATGGCTATAAACAAGAAGGAGAAAGAGGAAGGTCATTACTATTTACTCAGTTTGTGAGAATTGGTGCAGGGAGTGTTAATGAAATGGTTGTACAATTATCTTTGCATAATAATATTTTCTCTCTTCATAGGCATCCAGCCAGGGCAGTTATTATCATGTGTAGAGGACATTGCTGCTGCTACACAGCACACTGTAGCCTCACACATAGCTAAGAGAACACATCGGGCCATTTTATTCTGTAAGGCCAAAGGTCTTCTACCACAAAACAACCCAACTCTGGTAAGTTCACTGCACCACAGGACTTTGGTGTGGCATTCAGCATGGAAATCAATTCCAGATTGGCTTAATCACATCAGAATTTCATTGAATTTGGCACACCTGTTGGGAAATTGGCAAACGTTTCAGGTAAACTCTCTTTGCCTTGTGCACAATGCCCTCTCTAGGTTGTGTCTGGAGGAGTAGCTAGCAATGAATACATCAGGGAAATATTGAGAATTGTCACAGATGCCAATGGATTGCAGCTACTCTGTCCACCATCAAAGTTCTGCACGGATAATGGAGTCATGATTGCATGGTATGGAAAGAATGTTCTCGTACATGGTTCTTTACTCTTAACAAGAACTGTGCTTCTGTTAACCCCTTCAAATCCCAGGCCTGTTATTCAGTAAAGCCTGTTATTCAGTAACTACTTAGACTACAATATACAACCCCATTTCCAAAAAAGTTGGGACGCTGTGCAAAATGTAAATAAAAACAGAATGCAATGATGTGTAAATCATTTAAACCCTATTTTTAAAAGGAAAATACTACATAGACAACATATCAAATGTTCAAACTGAGAAATTTTACTGTTTTTTGAAAAATATATGCCCATTTTGAATTTGATGCCAACAACACAGTCCAAAAAAGTTGGGACGGGGGCATGTTTACCACTGTGTTTCATCACCTCTTCTTTAACAACACTATGTAAGCGTTTGGGAACTGAGGAGACACTGCTGTAGTTTTGAAAGTGAAATGTTTTTCCGTTCTTGTTTGATATAGGATTTCAGCTGTTCATCGGTTCAGGGTCTCATTTGTCATATTTTTCATTTCATAATGTGCCAAATATTATCAGTGGTGACAGGTCTGGGCTGCTGGCGGGTCAGTTTGGCACCCGGACTCTTTTAATAATGTGGTTTGACAGTGTATTGCTGAAATAACCAAGGCCTCCCCTGAAAGAGACGTTGTCTGGATGGCAGCATATGTTGCCAAAACATGTATATATACATTCAGCATTAATGGTGCCTTCACAGATGTGCACATCACCCATGCCATGTGCACTAATGCCCCTCTATACCATCATGAATACTGGCTTTTGAACTGTGCACTGATAACAAGCTGAGTGGTCCATGATTTCCAAAAAGAACTTCAAATGTTGATTTGTTGGACCACAGTACACTTTTCCACTTCCCCTCAGTGCATTTTAAATGAGCTCGGGCCCAGAGAAGGTGGCAGCGTTTCTGGATCCTGTTTATGTACAGTTTCTTCTTTGCGATTTAGAGTTTTAACTTGCATTTGTGGATGCAGCCACAAACTGTTTTCACAGACAGTGCTTTTCAGAAATGTTCCTGAAAACAATGAAGCGTCTCAACTTTTTTGGAAATGGGGTTGTAAACTATTCTTGAATTATAGAAGTGAATAAAAAACGTTTGGACCTGCCAGCAGGTTCAGGCCATTTAAGAGGTTAAACAACATCATTGTTTCCTTTAGGAATGGTGTGGAGAGGCTAAAGGAGGGAAAAGGGATATTGTCTCACACTCAGGAGGTCAGCTATGAGCCAAAGTGAGTCAAAAATTCATTACTTTACATCAATAAGGTAAACAATCATACTTGTTTTTACTGTTTTCTGAAGGCTTGTCCATTACTCTTTAAATTTTGCAAGGGCTCCACTTGGCAGGGATATATCTACAGAGGTGAGAGATGCTGCAATCAAAGTTCCTTCTTTAAAACTGAAGATAAAAAGCTAATATGTTGATAGTTTCTATGAACTTCCTTAATGTAATTCTAATATATTAATAAAAAAAACTCTCAACAATAAATCTCTCTATATTTCTAAAGAGAAGTATCAATGCATAGTTTTTGTATTGCTTTACTGAATGTAGTCATTTTCATGACACTTGGCACACAGAGTGTAAATCTAGTCGTCCACTGAGTTGCCCACTCATGACAAAGCCAGTCTGTCAGTCAAGCTGTGCTATTAGGGCAGTCAGGTGGCACTTTTCAGGCAAAGCTGGGAACTGGAAGAAGTTTCCTCAGCATATCAGACTCTGGACACAGCAGTCCTTCTCCTCTGACTGTAGCGATGCAGCGCCGGAACCGACCTGGTTCTGTCAGAGCTGCTTCTGATGGCTGATCTGTGTAACGCACTCCGTGTGGTAGACACACCTAGAGAGGGATTAGAGAGGACATCAGTCATGCCTTAATCTCACTCAGAGGTGTCCCAAATCACTGGGACTCAGCACCTCTTCCCACTGATCAAGAGCATAAGACGGTGCAAAGGGACTTTAGGATTGTGGCAAATCTTTCACAGGTAGCACAGAAAAATGTAAATAACAACCCAAGTGTGAAATTTAAGTTTCAAAAAATTAAAATTGGGGAAAATTGAGGAAAACTCTTCATAAATCTTTTACATTCTCCTGCAACTTCACCAGGAAATGTGATGGATGGTAGTTAAATCTCCTCTCATTTGTTTCGACATGAAATGATGCTTCACTAGTATAACAGCATAAAGGGGAATTCCACCAATTTTTAAAAATTTCTGCATAATTTAGACTTTGAAATGTACACAGTCATTCAGAGTGGTTTGATGTGAAGTGGTTCACTATAGAGAAACTTGCGACTCATTTCTTTACTGTGGTGGTGATAGGAACCAGGGGTCGCTATATCAATAACACAAATATAGCCCTTTTATTTATTATCAAAAATGATCAGTGAACCTACATGTGAGATTTTATATGTAATGTTGATGGTAAAATAGTGGTAAATCTGAAAAATAAGTCTTCTTTGGGTACCATTTTTCCTTATAACACCCTGCATGTACCTCCTGACTATGAATGGATTTTAAAAAATACATTCTAGGCCAAAACGTTATCTCAACTCTTGTATAACTATTTCACAGGCATTAGGCAACATATTCTTAACTATTTCATTGAGTAACTTACTGTGATGTAACTTTAGAGGCATTGATTTCTTTGGATGTCAAGTTGTTATAACCACCACAATGAGCAGTTCTAACTTGATCTTTTCTAATTAAAGTACCTTTACTGAAGCGTTGACGGACAGGCGGGCCCCCGTTTTGCTCCAAACTGCAGAAGTGAAGAGAACTGCATTATGTATGGCTGACGTGTTTCCATTAAAGCTCATGCTTTATGAATAAACTGTAGGTACACAGACAAAAGAACACTTTCAAGTTGACAACATGGAGTGATGGCGTGAGTGAAATACCTGAGTGATGGTAGACCCACCGCCCTTTGTCTTCTGAACTCAGATGTAAATTTGCGACATATCTTGGCGTCCTCAGCTAGATGGTCCTTCAGCAGTTTGTATGTGAGAGGAGTGTTCCTGCATTCCACCATCAGAAGGCGATGCACATGTCGGTTGAAGGTCAGGTAACCGAGAGCGCTGGCACAGGCTGATCGTACCTGATTAAAGGTGAGTGAAGGTACAAGCTCAACACCACTACACAGCACAAGGAGGACTGAATAAGTGAAGAAAATAATGATTAGATTTTTAGTTTTTCATTCTTTTACTTCAGTTTATATGTTTATTTGTATCATTTGCATCAGTTGCATTGTAATAAAAAAGTGCTACTAGGTTAAACTACACTATCACTATCAAATGGAATCACTTGCCGTATTAACAATTTTTATTACTGTATATACAATAATAACTTGTAGATTTTAGATTAACAATATGGATTTAAATATTAATATAAATATTCATGAAGAGTTGTTTGTCATTCAATATTTCAGGTATTCTGTGAACAAAATTATAAATAATATATAGTAATTATCTACATACATTAATGTTTTTGTCAAGTTATCTGCCTTAAGATTTGATCTCCATCTTTGAATTTTCAATGTTTTACAGTGTTATCAGTCATTTTAGAATATCCTTTAGCTCTGTTCATCATTCTGAACACATCTAAACCCACATGTACGTACTTCATTTTTATTTCCAGCTTCCTATTATTATTATTATTATTGTTATTTGAAAACAATATTTAAAAATGAACATAATAGAATCATTTTAGATATTTATCTACAACCAAATTTGTTTTATATTATTGAAAATTCAGTTTTTTAAACTGTTATTCCAAACTTTTAAACATTATTGTAAAAAAAAAAAAAAGTCAATTCAATTTGGTTTCTTTTTTAACAAAATAATATTGTGGTAAAGGAACTTTAAAGGAAATCTTACAAAAAGTTCTGCTCAATTTTAGAGAAACATAGTGACATGATGGGGGTCATGATATATATAGTAGGTAAAGCTACATGCATTCTTTTGGAAGTGGTGTTTGTCATAATTTTGTGTAATAACTGTCTGAGAGTTAGCTTTTATAGGCTTTAAACACTTCAGGCGCCGGGTTCCTATCACTCCCACTGTACACATATTTTACTCAGTAACTTTCTCTAGAATTATGCACTTTTCATTAAAACAATCTGAATTATTTTGTTTACTTATCAACAAGCAAAAATGCTGATAGTTTAGAAAAAAAACAAAGGAATTTGCCTTTTCTGCTCTTATATTCTTAAAGCAGAATGTTATTTTAAAAAGTTAATGAAACTGTTGATCCAGTTAATATCAGTGCAAAATGTACTGCCTCGTGTCTCTTCACACATTTTTGATGGACTGCAAACCGAGCCATGCAAACTATTTCCTTAATTTTTTAAGTATGCAATATTTCATTATTTTTACAAAGTGTACCTCTTCTATCCCAGAGTGCAGGTGGGCAGTGAGATACCCTATCGCTCCCATGGCCACGAGGGCATCTGGAACACCAGCTCTGGTGTGAGCCAAGCTCGCCAGGAACTGAGCTGCAAATGGCACAATACAAGGCCTATATCTTAATACAAATATTATTTTTAAATGTTTTGTACTACGAGACTATTGGATGTTAGAAAATATCAACTCAGTGTTTTTAACACACCTGTAATGACCACAGTGGTGGGTTTTTCTGATTGCAGTAATGCTACCAGGACAGTGATCCCTCTTGCAGTGAGTGTCACTTTGTCAGAGTCAGTGATCACTTTAGCAAGCACAACTATCTAATAAACAACAGCTCAGTTAAAACATATGTCTCAAAAAACAATAGTTCATTCAAGACAGTTTGAGTTTGTCTGTTTCTCATAGTGACATCTTTAAAACATCAAAATAACACTGAATGCTGTACCACCAGTTTCCAACTGGCAACTGAGAAATAAAAACGGTTGTCCTGCTACCTGAAATGCAGCCTTGGCCTTCTCGGTCTCATCATCTGAGTTCAGATAGTCCTCATAGGCCTGCACCGGAACACCACCCTTTTTCACAATTGTTGTCTGCTGAGTTGGGTTTTTGTACGCAAACAAGGCCAATGCGTGTCCTGCCTCCAGACGGATGTTCTAATACAACCATATGCAAATGAATGATATCAATCAAACACATTTTTAGCTTAGTTCTATCAACATGATCTTTAAAATGGAAATAAATTGGTAAAAAACAATAAACAAAGGCCGGTATGGACCAAGTATTTGGTAAGCTATAATCAGGGTAGAGGTTACTCTGTCTTGGGATCGCAGAAGCTCCACAATGACATCGTAGGAGAAGTCTTCATGTTCCCAGAAGGATTTCTGAAGCTCCTGATTCCCTAACAGGATGCAAGCCAGAGTCTGAGCGACCTGGACCTGTTTCCATTAATGAAACAAAAAGTATGAGCTTTTCACAGTGGCCTCACTCATGACTGTAACTCTGATGTATGAGCAAGAACTGTACAGAAGTAGTGTATTAATTAAAGGAGATGCCCAGTATTTACCTTAACCTGCAGAGATTCATGGCCTTGCAGAAGCTCTAACAGGGTCGGAATAGCTTTTTCCTCATAAATCACCTTCTGACTCTTTGCATTGTTAGTGTGAGCCACCCCTACAACATTAAAACAGACAAAATACATTTGTGTGCAAGATCCTGTATTAATATGTTAATATTCTTCACAACATTGCATCATCATCTACCAACTTAAGATCTTCTTGTTTACACTAAATTATTTTTCTTTCATTATGTCTCAAAGTGTTTGTGTTGTGCAAAACAGCCGTTGTGAAAGGTGATATATATTACACACGTAATTATTAATCTTATTACATTTACAGTTTACAGTATACAAAAGTTTAAAGACCAGTTGTTTGGGTGGCTGCCAGAAGAAAGCCTCTGCTGTGGAGGACAAACAAAATCAAGATGTTACAGTTTGCTAAACATTACTGGAGCTTTCAGTGGGACTGTGTTCTTTGGTCAGATGAGACCAAAATAGAGGTTTCTGGCAGCAAACACCAGAAGTGAGTTTGGTGAGTACACAAAGATGCCATGCAGAAAAGAACTGTGAAGTATGGTGGATCTGTGACGCTGTTTTTCTTCCAAAGATCATGGACATTTTTTTTCAGATACAGGGTATCACGGACTCGCAGTACCAGCAGAAATAAAATCAAAAGCTGATTGCCTCAGCCAGGAAGCTTAAACTGGACCATAGTTTAGATCTTCCAGCAGAACGATGATCCAAAGCACGCCTCAAAATCAACACAAAAATGGCCACCCCAGTCCTCTGACCTAAACCTCATAGAAAACCTTTGGAGAAAACGAGCTAAAGAGGAGAGTCCACGATGTGGACCTCGAATCTGAGGGATCTGGAGAGGTTCAGTAAGGAGGAATGGTCTCAGATCCCTTGCTATGTGTTCTCCAGTCTCATTAAGCATTATAGGAGAAGAGTTAGAGCTGTTGCCTTTGCAAAAGTTAAATTAATGTTAATATTCTGAATAAAATATCAAAAGAATAAACAATAAAGAATGTTTGTATAGCCTGTTTTGCTCACATTTTCCAGGGGTATTTCTGGATATATATATATATACAATTTGCAGAAAAATCTTTAAATATATGGATATGTTTGAATATACAATGATATGTTAACTTATTTACATTCAGAAAACCAATGAAACATGTCATATAACTGAAGGAGCTCAAACATTTGCATAATACTGTATATAGGCAGTTATTTTTTGCATGGGCATAGCATGCTGGGGAAGAATGTGTGCTTGAAGTTTGTGAACAAGTTGGAGTAGATGAAATGCACAAACTATAAAAATTATGGGTATGAAAAACATTTGTTTTTAAATTGAATATTTGCAAAAATAAAAAACATCAAACAGTTGGTGAAAATAAATACTAAAATAAGATAGTAGGTATCCAGTCAGTAAGATAGTAGGTATCCAGTCAGTAAGATAGTAGGTATCCAGTCAGTTGCTTGTTACTGCAGTTTATACAGTTACTACATACTTTTACAGGCTCTGTGTAATTGGTCTAAATCTGTCTTCATGATACATGCAGTTTTTCAGTGTTCTAGAAGTACAGGCGATAACCACCAGGCGTGTTGTGATATAACTTACTGAGATAACAATAAAATAATATTATTAATTATATTATATTATAATTACCAATGCACAGGCTACGTAGGGCGCTGATGACACCAAGGAGAGTCCTCTCCGTGGTACGGGACCCACGCAGCAGCCGCACCAGTGGTGGCACCCCGTTTTCTTTGCAGAAGCCTTTCTGGTGGGTACAGCTGTCCCGGCTGAGGGCTATCACTGCCTGGCAACCTGCAAATAATTTAAGCAGACCAGTCTGTCATCTTCAGGTGGGAAAAGGTCTAGATGGCCCGTTCCAAACTCTGTATTTCACAAATCTAATGTGAGGACAACTCGGGCTGAAAAGGGTCTAGAGGGAGTTAAAGGAGCAGCTGCTAGACAGAAGCTTTTAAACAGACCTATCACATTCGAGCGCCAGACAGAAGGACAAAGAGGAAGCACTCCTGGCGTAAAGAGCTAGTTGTAGAATCATTGCCTGCGATCATGTCATATACATAGAGGACACTAATGGCAAAAACAAGAGGCGAGAGTGCGTCTTTTCGTAAGAGGAGTGTTATGGGGGATCCCAGCGGGGGCTAAGCATTCCTGAGCACATGCCTTCCCCGCTTTATTATGAGTCTAGCAGAAAGGTAGCGTCTCGAGACAGGAAGCATTGGCCGCCTACCCGCTGGACCTGACCCTTCTCACAGTAGCAGAGAGAAAGCTCGAGCACACAGCTGTCCAAAGGGCCGTCAATCAACCTTTAGCACAGCTTATCCAGTGGCTGTCAACACCATGTCAATGAGCGCTGGTTTTACTGCGCTTGGTGCTTCATTTTGTTAATCTCACGAGATGGCTCCCCCTTTCCTCCGCTGGATGACAGCTTCACTGGGAAAGTTTGACTTTACATTTATGAGCACCCCAGATGCTGACAATGTGAAGAGCTGCCTGTTTTTTTCTTTTTTTTTGGAACAGAACATACTGTAACTACCTGTGGAACTTACCCACGTACTGCATTTTGTCCGAGGTGGACAGGAGCATGTTCAGGATGAAGTGGTAGCCCATGAGCTTGGCCATGTGCTTCTGCTGTTTCAGAGTGTGTCCTGCCAGGGCCCAGAGAGCTGTGGCCCCCTGTTCTCTTGCCTGCTGGTGGAACACCTGCGGTCCATAGAAATGGCACCCACAGTACATGTTAGTTTGGAGTCAAAGGTTTGGATTGCATGTTGTTGTATGTGTATATACACCGATCAGGCATAACGTTATGACCACCTCCTTGTTTCTACGCTCATTGTCCATTTTATCAGCTCCACTTACTATATAGGTGCACTTTGTAGTTCTACAGTTACAGACTGTAGTCCATCTGTTTCTCTGCATACTTTGTTAGCCCCCTTTTATCCTGTTCTTCGGTGGTCAGGACCCCCATGGACCCTCACAGAGCAGGTACTATTTGGGTGGTGGATCATTCTCAGCACTGCAGTAACACTGACGTGGTGGTGGTGTGTTAGTGTGTGTTGTGCTGGTCTGAGTGGATCAGACACAGCAGTGCTGCTGCACCTCAGTGTCACTGCTGGACTGAGAATAGTCCACCAACCAAAAATATCCAGCCAACAGCGTCCTGTGGGCAGCGTCCTGTGACCACTGATGAAGGACTAGAGGATGACCAACACAAACTGTGCAGCAGCAGATGAGCTATCGTCTCTGGCTTTACATCTACAGGGTGGACCAACAACGCAGGTGCGTCTAATAGAGTGGACAGTGAGTGGACACAGTGTTTAAAAACTCCAGCAGCACCGCTGTGTCAGATCCACTCAGACCAGCGCAACACACACTAACACACCACCACAGCGTCAGTGTTACTGCAGTGCTGAGAATGATCCACCACCCAAATAGTACCTGCTCTGTGAGGGTCCATGGGGGTCCTGACCACTGAAGAACAGGGTAAAAGGGGGCTAACAAAGTATGCAGAGAAACAGATGGACTACAGTCTGTAACTGTAGAACTACAAAGTGCACCTATATAGTAAGTGGAGCTGATAAAATGGTCAATGAGCATAGAAATAAGGAGGTGGTCATAACGTTATACCTTATCGGTATATGTATTCACTTATAGTACTGTGCAAAAGTCAGAGACCACCTTTCATTTATGGCCATTAAGCATCATTAAAACGCCGAAACCATATATCTAACAGAAAATTACACAGAAGCCTCAACAACTAAATATAATATCACATTTTCAGTATTTACTGCGTCAATTCTTTACCTTTATATTACCTTTTACCTTTACAGCTTCCATTCTTTTCAGTTTTTCAAAGAAATCTGCAGGTTTATTTTACCACATGTCCAAAGTTCTGTCTTCGAAGTTCGTTGCATTTTCTTATGTGTTGAGAATTGTTTTATTTTGTCTTATTTTCTTTATTTTGTTTCAATTGTTGTTCATTGTTAAACAGAATGCTGAAAGGTAGTTTTCGGGACGGCCTTTTATGCTGTGTTCTCGGGGTTTGAACAATAACACCAAATGGCCTTACAACACCCCCTAAGGAGGATTACCTGGGGCTGAACACTACAGTAAGGTGTAAGGACAGTAAGGTATTTATGACAGGATTCAAATGTCCCACTCTGTTCTATATGACTCTGCTGGGGGTGGGGTGTCAGGGGAAAGCATAAATGGGTGTCTGCACTGCTGTTTAGATTGGGTTTGGATTGTTTTATGGGAGCAGAATATGGACAGAACGCTCATTCTTTCTTTGATTATTAATTCTGCAGATCCCAGTCTCCTAAATCTCTTCCACGGAAAGATCAAAGATTTTCTACATACACAAGTACATTATCACTTATATCTAATTTCTGCAGAAATATCTCCTGAAAAAAATGAATAACTTGTACTTAATCGCCTTTTGCCTTGAAAGTTACTAAACAAATCACAGTACTGTATAAAACAAAAAAAATTGCACATTTTTAATATTTACAACAAAAAGTTTTCTGCTGTGAACAGGGTGTCGGGATATATATTTACAGCATCTTCAAGCCTGCTGGAAAATCATCTCAGGTGGCTCCCCATGAAGCTGCTTGAGAGAATTCTTAGACTGCTTCAAGGGGAGCTATTGTAAAGAATGTAAAATATCCGACACATACTATTTATTTGTCGGATTTTGGCTGTATTTTATAGTATGAAATGTACATAAAATATATATGAAATATACTATATTTCATATATATTTTATATACTGTCCAGACACCTCTTCTAATTGTAATTCAGCTACTTTAAAGTGCATCCATTGCTGCTAATAGTGTTCAACTGATGTTCTAGAGCAGCCACACATGGAGCACCATCCTGGAACATCATGCCTAATGCCAAGCATAAGACTAAGAGAGTTATAAATCCCCCCCACCATTGAGCTGTGAAGCAGTGGAACTGCATTCTCTGGAATGACAGAGCTCCATATAATACCTTTGGGATGAGTTGGAGTGTCCAGAACTGATCATTCAACATCAGTACCTGACCTCACTAATGCTCTTGTGGCTGAATGCAATCAAATCCTCACAGCACAATTTTTTAGGCATAATATAGTTTTGACATGCATATGCACTGAATCATGTAATTAAAAAGAAATGCTTGAATATTTATAAACAGCTTATGTCAAGTATTGGAAAAATGACAAGATGTTTTCTGAAGTAAATGACATGATATTGACTTAATGGTATTTAAGCTTAAATGACAGAAATTTGTTCCAGTGTTATAACACAGTTCTGAAGCATCATTCTCAAGTAATGGAACTTGAAAGGCACAGGTATTTTTAAGAACACTATAAATCAGTTGTAGGGAAGATGTTGATGCTCTAATTCTCATTCGTATTTTCCTGTATGTAAATACCAGTAGTGGATCTTGTACCTGAGTGAAAGAAATAAGTCTTGTAAGCCTTGTAAGCTGCATTATGTCGGAATGATATTTAATAGCAGTGTTATAAATAGGACTGTGTCTATCACTTTAGTTTAAGGCTCCTTATTTCAATATAATGTCTTGCACTTCATAAAACATGTTTTTTTCCATTACTGGCAAACAACATTCATAAACTCTCAAGTATTGCTTTATCAATACAATACTTAACGCTAATGCTAACACTAATGTTATGACGTCCCTATGTAGGTAGCCTTCAGAAAAAGTGTAAGTGAAATCAGTATGTGTGGTCAAATATTTGATCAGTACTGTAGTTTAATGAAGTTATTCTTACCTAATCATGTAATGGACTGATGCTGTTCTTTGGATGACCTTATTTCATTTACAAGAATTACTAATCTACTAAAATAGGACTAATTCTTCCAACATCTAATTGCCTTAAAGGTCATGTTAAGCAAGATGGTTAATACGTTTATAGTAATTTGACAGTGTGAAGCTAGAGTCCTTCATTCTGGTCTATCTACATCTAGAACTCCCAAAAAATAAAAAAAAAAAGAAAGAAAGACATTGGCAAACAAATGGTACCAAATCTGGTACCAGATTACCACAAATCCTGCCAAATCCTGAGAGCAATTTTATTAAATGTCATCCTAAAGCCAAACTGTAATCGTATTACCTTAGAGACCCGTAGAAGATATTTGGCAGCAGACTTCTTCAGAAATAATTCCTGTATGGCAGGGTTTTGGTGCGCTATGGCCTCAATAGCACTAGCTACTTTGATCTGGGCAGACATCTTTCTGGTCCGCAGGACCTGCACCAGCGGGCTCACGGCACCAGCCCCACAGATCAGCTCCTGGTTCTCCCTGTGGTCACGGGCCAGCTCAGCCAAAGCCAGACAGGCCTCTTCCTGCATGACCTCTGTAATATACACATAAATATACACAGAAGTTCGGCACTACTAGTCATATTAAGAATAATGCATACGTAATTCAAAAATAACTTATAATGTATTGTCACAATAACTTCATTCTAGATGTTTGTAAATCTTTGTTCATTATTCTAGAAACTTTTAACATTTCTTAATTTCTTAATTTTAATCTTAATATCTTCATTAAGTTCTAGCATACTATTAAAATCATTTTATTTGCAAACTAACTGAAAACTCTGATTCCAAACTTCTGAACAGTAGCATCTGGCTATACCCAAATAAAAGTAGATGGCTATTGATAAACTCTGGTAACACTTTGTTCTGATACCTGCATAGGGACTTTATAACACATGCATAAGCATTAAAAACATAAAGCAATACTCAGATATTCATGAAAAGCTTATGCCAGTAATCCCAAGATGACAGCATGTTTATCAAGTATATTATACTGTACTGATACTGTACTATAAAGGTCCTTAAATCAAGGTAGCAAACATTGAAATAATATATATTATAATAACTGTAATACTTATAGTACATTTAATGTTAGATACTTAAATGTATTAGGTACACTACTTGAGAAAGATGCTTTATAACAATGTTATAAATGGAACAAATGTCTGTTACTTTAGTTTAAGACCCCTTATGTCAATACAGTGTCATCTGTCTGAACATCTTATGGCATCTTGCGATTACTTCCAAAAGCTGTTTATAAATGTTGAAGTATTGCTTTATAAATACATTATTCAATGATTATGCATGTGTTATATAGCCCCCATGTGGGTAGTCTTCAAATAAAGTGTTACCAAATTTTCATCATTTAAATAGCAGTATAAATTTCAAACTTGGAATTGGCCCACAGCATTTACCAATCTGACATTCAAATAAAGATTAAGAGACATGAAAGAAGTAAGATGCTGCTTTCGGTATAATTTTCAGCTTCTTTTCCAGAGTTCTGTACCAGAGTTTACTGTACCAGAGTTCACGGTGAGGAATTCAACCAGCTGTGGGATTCCTCCAGACAGAGCCACTGCGGTCTGGTTGGTGGGGCAACCAACACACAGAGCCCGGACACACCGCATAACGTTCAGCAGCACGTCTTGGAGCTCAGAGTTCAGTAGCTGCACCACTGGCGCCACCCCACCCTGCACACACAGGGGGAAGAGAAGGACACTTACAAAAGAGCTGCCAGTCGTGTCACTGTGATTAAAGTGCACAAACATCCTGTTATTGTCTGATGTGCTGAAAATGACCCACCACCCAAATATCATCTGCTTAACAGTGGTCCTGTGGTCAGAGACTGACCAGTGATGAATGGGATAAAGGGGGGCTGATAAATTGAGCAGAAACAATTAGGCTTCAGTCTGTAACTCTGCAGCAATATGGTGCACCTATAAATTCAGGTGGCCAGAAAGGGGAATTCTATTAAAGTGGACAGAATGTGTATGATGAGTGTATATTTGCATAAATTGGAGTGTAAAAGCCAAAAAAATTATCCTGTGTTTGATCCAAGCTGTTTTATCAGTGTGGGTCCTGAAATGTTTCAGGTAGCCACGTTTTTGACTTGACTTCTATGGATGCTACATTTTTTAGAGGTTCTAGAATGATCTCTTTCACCTAGAGGTGATTTTAGAGCTTCAGTACGTCCCATTATTATTACAAAGGACGCACTGGCCCTTTTTCATCAAAGTTGCACACAGACAAATATTATTGTAAAATGAGCACATACAAATTTTGAGTTTTGGTATTCATCAATTTCATCTTTGGTGTATCTGTGTAATCAAACTCACGTCTGATAGAAGTGTATGTAAATTTGAGAGTAATAGTTTAACAACCTGAAAAAATACTTGAATTGCAGTGAACTAAGCAGAACTGTTATCAAAATCATCTATAATACCAATAAAAAAAAAAAAAAATATATATATATATATATATATATATATATATATATATAATAAAATAAATCTAGAAAATAACAATAAAATTAATTTGTGCACAGGGTGATCCAGTACAAAAGTGTATTTATTTTACAACTATTCCATTCAGACATATTTACACCATTATACTACTGACACTGCCCAAAAAATAAAAAATGCAAAACACAGCTAGTGCAGAAGCCTCTCACACTGCAGCAATACAGCATTTAAACATGTTATTTTAGGAATATAATCACACTACACAATCATGTTCTTTCCAGTAGTCATAATTTTAACACTATAAAGTTTGGCCAGTAGGGGGAGCACCTACGATCATAGCCTTTCCACCTACGATCATAGCCTTTGGCTCATGAGCCACTGAATGCTGTTGTTAATTAGCTCCTTACTAAAACATCTGCATGAATTAGAATGTGCTTTGTGTAAATGATATGTAAATGAGGTGCTGGTAGGCTGGCGCTTGATTTTATGCACTGAACCTGATGCATCATTTGCACTTAAATCTCCACTTTTTTTCCACATTGCATGAAAGTTTAATGAACCACATGCAGAGTAGTTTGTACATCATGAAGGCGGTCAAACCTGCACGCTTTTTTACACAAGGGCCAGTTTGAACACATGCAGGGATATTAAATTACGTATAAAACACTGTTCAATTATTATGCACTTTTAGTCCATGGAACACATTCTGACTGTAAAGACCAGATAGACAAAAACAAACAAAAAAAAAGTGAAATCATTCACCTGTATCCCTTATAGCTTTAATCACTGCATATAGTCCTCTACGCAAACTCACCAGGTCAGCGATATGGGTCTGGTACTGGCCACTGTGGCTGGCCAGATCTGCCAGTATAACAGCACAGCGCGAGTGGAGCTCAGGCTGCTGGCTGCTGAGGAGTTGAATCAGCACCGGGACGGCACTGTGCCGCATCAGCTCCTCACACACAGCTACATTCTCTGTCATGTGACACACCACTGCCGCGGCCACGCACTGGAGAGTCGGCCTTCCGTTACACAGGATCTCCACCAGAGCTGCTACACCACCTGTTACACCACATAAAGTTATTGACCCATCACTGTTCACACGGTAACACTTTCTATGAATGTCACCTTTGTAAGCATCTATAAACACATTCATAACATGTTATAATGCATACATAAGGCATTATAAACATGGCTATAAATATTTATAAAAATGCATTACACATTTTAGCCATGCTTATTATGCATTATGAATTGTTAACATAATACATTATAAGTACTGTTCATAACAAATTATAAAAGCTCATCAGTTGTATTTGTCCACTCTAAATAAAGTGAAGTATACTGTACTAAAGCCTCCTCCAGTGTTAAGAGTGAGGCTTCAAGTTGAAGTATTTACTGAAGGATTTACTGTGTTACCATTCACACTTAATGCTTCTCTAACGAGGAATCTAGTACATACACTTAAAGTAACGGACCAGCCAAAAGTCAAATTTACGCTTGAGCTACGAGGCTAACAAGTAATGATACATGACGGAACAGTTAGCAGCATGAAAACTGCATACTTTGCCTTAAACTGTGTTATTTCAAATAGACTTGCTCATTTGGTTTCCGACACTTTATGACACAGTCTTATCTATATGATTAGACAAAAGTGCATCACATAGCTAAAAACTTTTGAACTTTCTCCATACTTTTGTCCATTATAACGTTGGAAAAAGCATCAACTAGTCTAGATTTCTTAACAAGCTAACATGGTTTAAGTCATGGCTGTTTAACTACAACTGGTGTAACAACTACAATTGGTTTGAGGAAAATTGTATATTTGTTTGTTATAGAACTATCATTTTAATGCTAAATAGCTACAGTTGTATGCAAAAGTGTGGTCATCTCTGGTCAAATGATGTTTTGTTGATTTTCTAAGTGAAAATAATTTAACACAGCCTCTACAGAAAACATATTTCTGCACAAATTAATATAAAATTACTGTTTATTGGCAGTATTTGTTTTAAATTTAACATACTGGAAACAAAATAAAACATAAAATGTGAAAAAGTTGGCCTATTTTTATATTTGATGTTTATTTATTCAAGTTACTGTTGGTCACCAATGGTATTTCATGTTTTCTGATGTGTTGATATCACAGTTTAAAGGATTTTCATAGTTTGACAGAGGTTCTGGGACTGATACCAAATGAATTTGATGGTTTCCTAATGGGATCTAAAGGTGTCCTACACAAAACTAGAGGTCTCTAATAGTAACCATTAAGGCAATTCCTATTAGAAAGCAAAACCATCAGGTTTTTTTTGTTTTGTTTTCTTGCGATGTTAAATTTACCAAACAAACAGAAACTATGCAATGAAATGTGCAGAAAAATAGTTCTCTGTAGAGGATGTGTTAACTTATTTTCACTTCACACTGAAATGTAGTTTGACTAGGGGCACCCAAAGTTTTGGGTGTACAGTTAAACAACTGTATAAGAAAACGTAGGTCTCTCTTCTTCATTGGTTTCAACTATTACCCTGTCTGGAGTCCACAGATTATCACACACACTCGTACACTATGCTCATGTTTGATAAAAAGCCAAAGCCTGCGGAGGAACGTCATAAAACATCTTGATTTCACTAAAGGTGGCTGCAGCTGTGACCTGCTTCCATGATGTCCTTCCAGAAGGAGTCAGCGTTCACACAGAGAGCCTCCAGACATCTGACAGCCATCTCCAGCCTCCTGTGCTCCTCACTCTGCAGCATCTCTGTGGAGACACACGAAGGGGATGAAGAGAGTGAAGCAAAACTAATGAAAAATAAATGCTCCATGTGCAACACTGGCAGGTTTTTGTGATTCAATTTGTTAAGCCCTGGAAGTTTATATTACATTATAATTAGCAGGTATAATTTGCATTTGACCAAGACTCCAGACAAAGTATGGTGAACAATAATAAAGGCTCTTGTAAAATGCTACACCCACATTTCATGTGATACATGAAAACTGGGACTTAACTGGTGTTAATATCCATAGCAGAATCATTCTTAGATGTACTGCAGCATAATAATAAATTAACGCTAAGTTTTTATACTGCTTTTCTTAATCTTATAAGGATGCTTTACAACAGAATTGACAGTGTCAATATTACAAAGTATACAAATACTGCACATAAGAACTCGTTAACAGAAGAACTAGTGAAAACAAAAAGATGAGGTTGATATTATAAGAAAAAAGTTTTGAGCTAAGCTTTAAAACAAGGAACATAAGAGCAGATTAAGAAAGACTGGTGTAGAGTGTTACACAGTTTAGAGTTGTATGTAAAAGTGAACACCAAATGACATTTTGTTGATGTACTAAGTTTTAAAAATGTAGCACAAATTCTATTTATTTGATCAATTTAACATGTTGGGCGAAATATTAAATCTACAGAAATAAAGGTGATGTGTAGGTACATTTTACATTCATCAAGGTACAAATAGTGTAAACGTATCCGCAAAGGTACAACAGTTGTTTTAAGGTCCAACTGTGCACCTTAAATAAGTTTTTCCAGGTGAAAAGTTCATATTTGTACCTTTTCATAACCGAATGTTTTAAAACAGATCAATAAAATAAAAGCCTGGAGACGAGACGGGGTGTGTGGAGTCAATACATCTTAGAAAATATAATTTCAGTGGATTATGGTACAGTTATGTTCCCTGACTAAAGGTACTGAGATGTACCCTTGAGGGTACCACCCCAGTGACAAGAGGGGCACTGCCCCAGAGACAGGCTAGTACCTTTATTTCTGAGGGTGTGAAATATAAATATGACACAACTTTTGGACATTATGTTTATCTTGTTTCCAATGTGCAAAATTCAGGAAATAAAGAGTAACTGTGTATTAAAATGTGCATAAGTGTGTTTCTCTGTAGAGGATGTTAACTAATTTCACTGAGAAATTCAACAAAACATGTAACTTTACCAGGGGCGCCCAAACTTAATCCGCTCTGCCCCCAAAAGTGGACATACCAACAAGAATCTTCCACACATTAAGGCCCTCCAGATTCATCCGGATGAAACGTCTGAGAACATCAGTGTTGAAGTAAAGGGCTGCCAGCTGGACCACGTTATTGCCCTTACTGTCCTTCTCTCTCCAGTCTGCCCCGCTGGACAGCAGGAAGTCCAGCGTCTCCACAGAACCTGACATGGCCGACAGTAACAGGGGAGTGGTGCGATACCTATAACACAGCAGCTGGACAGTAAGTAAAGAACAGACAGAGAGAGAGAGAGAGAGAGAGAGAGAGAGAGAGAGAGAGACACCCGCCTCCCACTCCCTCATTGCTGACCAATGTATCAGTTGCATTCACACTGAACAGACCAAACAGAAGGGAGAAAGATAGGATTTGATTATGATTATACAGATAAAGACTCAACAACTGAGCTGTAAATCTGAATTTCTAACAGTAAACAGAGGTGTTTAATTTAAGTTGTTTAATTTAAGGTGTTTAGTTTAAATTTTAAGTTCAATTTTAGGCCCGTTTCTATTTTCAATTATATATGAATGTTATCTCTGTAACAGATTATACAGTATATCTACACACTGACAATATGATAATGGACTCTACTAAACTTGCTTAAGTGACTTTATTTCACTTCAGGTTTCTCTAGCTTTTACTAACTGAGTAAATCTGCTTTTAGATATGGTTTTAAGATGGATTACGGTACAGGACACTATAAAGCTCGACTCACTCATCTCTCCCAAGAATAATAAACTATTAATCTTGAATTATTTTTGCTCTGCTTGTAACCATTTTAACTGGTTATTTTCATTCACTGATTTAGTTTTTGTTTTGATTGCTTTCTTAAAATTCTAAATGTTTTATTGACTGTTTTACTTCAAGGCCTGTTTTATTGCACTATTATTATTATTATTATTATTATTATTATCAACAAGCAAATACTATACATAATCAAGTATTCCAAAAACTAGCCTCACCTTCATATCAATAGGATTCTGGCAGCAGCGCTATGTGTTGTATTTGTAGCAGTATAAGCAAACAAAGATGGTTCTTCAGGGTTCTTTAGTAAAGACAGTGGTTCTATATGGACCATGAACAATCAGAGAACCATTTGCATGATTATAGGGTTCTTTGCATCGTGAAAGCGTTCTTCAGATTGATGGATAATGTATTGTAGATGGTTCTATATAGAACCTTTTTTAAAAAAGAGTTCTATATAGCACAAAAAAGCGTTCTGCTATTGTTATGATGTCAGTAGAATCAATAGAAGAACTCTTTTTGGTCCCATATTGAACCCTTTTCAAAAAGTTATATATAGAACCTTCTACAGTATGTTCTTCATCAATCTGAAGAACTGTTTCATGATGCAGAGAACCTAAAGGGTTCTTTGATTGTTCAAGGTTCTATATAGAACCATTGTCTTTACTAAAAAACCCTTGAAGGCTATCTTTTTAGGAGTGTACAGTAAGTGACTGCTATGTAAGAGAAGAATGAAGCACTGTTAAATAATTTACTGATTTAATGTGGTGCCAGTGTGTGTATGGTAGGGGGGGTTTGAAGATCGAAAGAGGGTCCGTAATCAGTCTACTTACTCTGCTGAGGTATGCGTGTCCAGCAAGGATGGATCTTTCCTGCACAGGGCCTGGACACATGCGACCTGACTGTAAAAGGCCGCGAAATGGACAGCCATCCAGCCTCTCCAGTCCACGAGTCTGTAGTCTGTCTGCAGAGCAAGCAAGCAGTTCAGAGCCTCCAGAGAACCGCACTGCGCCGCCAGGTGCAGCGGCGTGAGTCCTGGGGGGACAACAGCATTTTTTTATTACCATGAACTCATTATAATCTCTAACTTATATGAATATATGAATGACTGCCCTCAAGACAATTTAATTATGATTTGTTAGAAACAATTCAGTGCATCATGAAATCTCGTTCGATAAAATCAGTAAGATTGGATATTTTTGGTGCAATTTATAATGATTTTAATTGAAAATACAAAGAACGCAGAAATATGACTGGAGGAACTGTTTACACAGTAGTGACATACAGACAGTAAATACAAACAATGCATTAAATATTTTTATATATTTGTAAAGCAGCCTCTGAATTTGGTTTTATCCAAGAAAAAATAATGATTACATAGTGGACTTTAATATAATTAATTACAATCAATTCTAACATTTAATACAGTTGATTCACCACCTTTATAAATACGCTTTTTTACACTACTAATTTATCATTATGATCATTTTAGGTATAAACAAAAAACTCCTACCAGCTCCCTCTCTCATCTGTTCACCAGCTCCAGACTTCACTGAAACAACCAGAAGATACTGTCACAATAATGCAGAACTGCAGGATTATTTTTCAATATTGTTCTTTCATAGAACATTTAAGTAATACTGTCATCTTTATGCCTGTTTTTTTTCTCTATCTCTGCTAGTTACATAGCTGGCCATGAGGCCTGGAAATAGAAGATCATCTGCAGAAAAATGTCTGCTTTTCAAAAACAAAATGAAACAAAACAAAACAAAACACAAAACAGAAACAAAAGAGTAATTAATCTCTAACCAGAAAAACATGTATCTCCACTTTTTTTGCGATTGAATCATTTGACCACAGCAGCTATGCTTTACATTGTGTGAAAATTTCAGGAGGAATGGACCAATAGAAATGATCCAAAATCTCTTAACATCTCTGTACACTCTTTAGTGACCCTTTTAG